TATATACATAGTTTTGACATTATATTTCAGCGTGAAATGTATAATAATAAGAGTGCACCCCATATGTGTGTAACTACAGTAGCAAACTGCCTTTGAAAATTCAATCTTTCTTTTCAAATGATTCGTTTACCAAAAAGGGCAAAAAAAAAATGGGAAAAGCTTACCTGTTGGAGCAGAAGATGCAAATGAAGCTTGAGAATGGCCAGGCAACTCATCTGGATTAGTGTCTGTATTTTTTCCCTGTCAAAATTACAATCACAACGCAGCTTCCTCGTACGTGTCATTGCAAGCTATTCATCGTATTCATCGATAATATAACAAATAATAATTTTTATAAAATTACCACGTTATTGTTTCATTTCGAAAAAGCTAGCTAGTTTAATGGAAAACATGAGCAGCAGAGATTCAATAATGCGTTACATATATACATATATATAATAAAACCTTGTTATCTATGTAAACATATAATAAAACCCAATTTGAAACAAATGATTTCATTTACATCTCAACTTCAACTAATGCGTGAAAATAATTACTATAGATTACCACCAGGCCATATGGTTAGATCAATGAGAATATATATATATATACTCGTCCGTCCTAATATAAGATTCTTATACTTAGGACAGGAGGAGTATGATGAATTAAGGTCCGGTACGAGGACCATAGCTTATAGAAAAGCAACGTAGAGATATGGCAAGCAGACTGTGGGCTCACCTGATGAAGAGGGAAATGGAGAAGTTGAGAAACAGGACGAGGCATGGTTTGTGGAGACAAGAGTGGCAGAAGAAGAACAAGAAGAAGAATTTATAAGAGAAGTAAGTGCATGAATGTTTTGCACTTTCCATCAAACCCGGAGGTTGGCATGTCTTTAAGCCATATCACTAAGCCATTGCTTTTGATTTGCTCCATCACCACCCTTCTCTCTACTCTCTCTCTCTCTCCACACACACTGTACCCAGAAGGCTTATAGCTAGCTAGCTTGTAGCACCCACGTAACTCATCTCAGCAATATATCACTCAGCCTCTTATATTTAATTTTAGTTGGCATTTTGCTGTTGTTACAAAACATCGTTTTCTTAACGTATGTTCAAATATTCTGAGATTTCTATAGATGGAGAGAGTGATAATCAAGTATTCCCATCATCATCGGATTACGTTAATTCCCACGAGTACATATGGCTCCATATGCCCGTTTCGGCAACTTTGCCCTTTTGTTTTGCATATAACACGATACTGATATATGTGCATGTATCTTACGTAGTGAATATGTATGTCATGCAATTAATTAAGAGTGCCGGCACACTAATTAGAGATTTATGATATCTTCTTTTGTACTTAACTGTTAAAATTAAGGAAGCAATTAATTCATCCGATCTCTGTACTTGTTTCGTCTTTAATCATTCTCTCATCTGTTACGTTGTCGGATAATAATAATCAGACCCGTTAGCTAAGATGCCGTTTTTCAAAGAATATGTATTTTGAAATATGCGCGTCTCAAGATTTTAAAATGGCTTACAGGTTTATCTTATTTTGATATCTCAACTACTTACACACTATTAAGTGAAGATGTCAACTTATTTATATTTGAAAGTTAATACCGAACTCCTCTAATCCTTAATATAATACTTTAATTGATTAATTTGAAGAGATTAAATAAATTAGTTGTTATGAGCTCTACATTAGGAAATCTCACAAGTGTTGTAGAGTTTATAAATTCAAAGAACTATCCCTTCTAATAGGCTAGTTTTTTGGAATTGAACTCTCCCCTTAGACTTAAGCTCATTACTTTGGTGCTCTCATTGAGAGTCCTCTAACGAGAGAAGGCCACTTGCATAGGGTTTTGACCAATAAGAAGACCAAGTAAAGTGTTGTAAAGTGAAGCCGTTGGAGAAGTCAACATTATTACGTTAATTATTTGTAATAAATAGGTGTTATCTTTTTTAAAATATCCTTACTAATTATATGTATTAGTTAGAACTACTATTTAAATTTTTAATATGTACAATTAATATAATGATTACTTTAAAAAAATAAATAAATATAAAAAATAAATAAAATTGAGATTTTATACTCCTCCGGTCCTATTATAAGACCCCATTTGACTTTTTATTTGGTCTAATTATAAGACCCCATCCATTTTGTCTCTTATATTTATGCATTTTTTTCTAAGATAATCCTTCTAAAATGATAGTTTTAGCCAATATACTTAATTAGCAAGGTATTTTAGGAATGACAACACTTATTTATTATAAATAACCAACTTACTTACTTCCTTAATCTCCTCAAATAAGTCAATTGGTCTTATAATTAGGACCGGAGGAGTATTTAGGATTATCTAAAAGTTAAACTATTTCTAAACAGGTAATATGTCTGTCTATTTTTGTGTGTGCGTGTGTGTAAATAGAAAGAGGGAAAAAACACAAGTAGGCTGTATAGCCAAGTCTCGAATCATTGCAGGGTCGAAGATGCCGATGTTTCTCTGTTGTCTTTCTTTCTTTTCCTTGTCTAATTCACTATTCACTGCATAATCTGTTTGAAAACGAAAAACCAACCCATGGAACTCTGACAGCAAAATGTCTTTTCACGCAGCCCACAATTTTAGTTAATCAACAGATCTTATCCTCTCCGACATAGAAATTAAGACGGTGTTTACGTTAAATATCTCTTAGTTTTTGTTGTTAATGGTCATCGTTCTCTTTTCTCAATTGTTTACTGTCAAACTCAGAAATCGCTGTCACAAGTCCATTTTTAGTTGTCACAGTAATGATTAGGCACTATCTACCGCTAATCTTAACTATTTTGCCTAAACTGTTACAACACAACAGCACGTTCATCTTATTACTTCCTTTGATTACTTCTTTCTGTTTCTTGGAAGACACGACAATTTGTACACCTTCGGTTTTTAATATAATATCTATTTAATAAATTTGATTAGATTAAAGAAGTTAGGTAAGTTAGTTAATTATAAAAATATGATATGTTTTTTCTAAAATGCCATAATCAATTTTCATAATACCTTATCTCCCTCTTCTACTTGATTATGGTTGAAAGAGTATCCATGGAGGTAATTTAGAGAAATTGATAAATACCCTCCAGTCCTTAGTATAAGACCCATTTAACTAATTTGATAATTAAGGAAGTTAGGTAAGTTAGTTAATTGTAAGAAAATTGACACATTTTTCCTAAAACACCATAATCATCTTTCTTAATACCCCCTCTCCTTTTTTACTTAATTATGGTTGAGGGAGTATCTATAGGGGTAATTTAGAGAAAATTGATAAATATGAGAAATGGGTCTTATATTTAGGACCAAAACCAACTCAAGAATTGGGTCCTATATTAAGGACCGGAGGAGTATGAAAAATGGGTTTCATATTTAGAACCAAAACCATTAACAATTGAGTCATATATTAAAGACCGAAAGAATATACTCCTCCGGTCCTTAATATAGGACCCAATTAGAAGGTTGATCTTGGTCCTGAATATAGGATCCCTTTCTCATATTTTTTCATTCTTTCCTAAATTACCCCTATTAGATAATTAATACCACAATAATACTCATTATTCATTAATAATCACCTATATATTTTATAAAGTGAATGAATACTTATTACTTATTGATTTCACACACATACATCAATTCTACCATTTATATTTTTAATAAAATAATTTAAACATTTTAAAAAAAAATATTTTTATACAAATACCCATTCAAGGTAATTGGATTTTTTTACCTCCGAGGAATAGCATAATAATAATCATACTGATGAGTGAGACCGACAACTCGGACGGTGCGTGAGCTAGGAGAACTTGGACGACGTTGGTACCGGAGGAGGCGAGTTAACCAGACTTGATTTTTTTTCAATGTCAGTTTCTTTTTAGAGGTGTAAAGCGAGGGTATTTTGGAATATCTATATTTATTACCTAACTTAACTACCATCCTTAATTTAATCAAAATAGTCAAAAGGGTCTTATATTAAGGACCGGAGGAGTATTTTAAATATCCTTTTGATTATTTGCCAGTAAAGTTCATCTGCTTAACTCCTCGCCGTCAGAGCCATATGCAAATTATTCTCGCTCTCTTTCCTTTCTTTTTTTTGTTTTTTTAGAATTTTTCTCTATTTTCTATTTCTATTTTATTTTGAAATATATTTAAAGTAGTTCTTTTTTTGGCCAAAAATTAATTCATGTTGAAAATGATTGTTTACATATAGTCTTTATATTCATTTATTTTTTTCCTCATCAATTAGTAAGTCTCCAAATTGCTAAATTTGAAAAATCACGTTTACGTATTAGATATATCATTAATGCTCATTATATTAATTTAACTATTAAGTTTTTACCTTTTGCAGGAAGTAAGTCAAAGCTACCGCATTTATCAGTTTCAGTCAACTTTTATAATAAAATTAGCTGACTAAACTCAGATTTAAGGTATTTTATTCAACTACATAGATTTTTCTTTTGGAGAATTATAATAAAACACTAAATGCCTAAATTTTATTTGTGAAAACAGCTTCGCAAAATTTCCAGGATAACGTTTACTATTAATTACTAATATGTCTTTTTCTTAACATCGCTCCCCACTTGCCGGTCCAGAAAAGAGGGTCCCTACTTACGAACCCCGCGAAAAATCGGTATACATTCGTCAGAAATGAACAACATAATTTACCTTAACCCATTACAGTCTAGTTGCATTTAAATACGAATATCATATATTTAGTGATTAGTACTTTTATTTGTGTTTGGGTGCTCTTCCATTGAGAATTAATGCAAGGCCTTCCCACGGCCTTCATGGCTGCTTCGCCTACAAGCAACATCGGGAGGAGAGGCTTTATGCCGAGTTAAACTAAATAGTTGGAATCAACCAATAAAGAACATAAGTGAAACCCAAACCCTACCATGTGGAATTGAAACAAAGTGGAAGAAACTAACCGTCATCAAAGCCACCTGCAAACGTGTCTTCCTGCAAGAGCTACAGTTGTACCCGGCAAACAAAGTAATTATGATAATTTTAAACTGATTTTATCAGTAACATGCTCCATTCTCCACTAATATGTTTCTTCACAGGGTGAGAGCTCAGCTAACTTAAGAATCCCATCGTCATCCTCCCATAACTAAACTACACTAAGAAATAAAGGCGTTGAAGAATGTCATAATCAAAACTGACTCATCCTCTTGCGACAGCAAAATACACGAGACTCGCAATTACTCATCAACACAACAGGGAGGGAATTTATGAGTCATGGAGCTCTACCCATCATTTAGCCAAGTCTTACTAACTTAAATCTCTTGTAAATCAGGATTGTCTAGTCAGTTCAACACTGAGATCATACGGCTTACTCAGTTACTCGTCCTGTCTCTGCCTCTTTGAGGCTGGAGCACTCTCCTCACCGGCTTGTTGCCTAGGATTCTCAGAAGCTTGATTTTCAGGGCCATCATTCTTCATACCCACTTCCAGAGACCTTTCCTCAACTGCAGTACTGTTATTGGCTTGATCACGTCCCGACTTGCAATCACCCTCCACTTGGGAGGCTTCCACTTCACCTTTGGCAGCACAATCTTTGATAGCGTCTGAAGACAC